TGGTGGATAGCAAACAATGTTTTCTAGGAGCCTGGGGCAAGAAAGGCATCAATAGTGGAGCGGTGCCAGCACCTGTTGACTTGTGTCACAGTTGTGTGTTCAGGAGTCTACATAACTGCATCCACAGTCGCAGACATCTGGGAGGTGTATTGGAGAGATCAGGAGAGTTCCAATATTGGCTCTTCTCATGACCGTTGCCAGTAGAAGGTTGCTTTTAAGAAAGACTTATTTTGTTTTGGAAAGGTAGAAGGTCCTTCTGGTGACTGTGATGATAATGTCTTTCTTAGGTGTCTTCTCACCATGAGCATCTATTTCTTTGTCTCTCTTTGCATGTGTGCCATGAAGGTTAAATTCGTTACTAAGCCCTGGCTTTAGGGTCGGGTGTATATTTTGGAGATGGCATGCATCTGGAGCACACTGCCCGGTGCTCGATGTGTGCAAACCGAGCTCCTCTCCAGCCTGGTTTCTAAAGCTCAGCCCATGCAGGCACCCACCTCTATTGTCAGATGGGTCCATGATTTTCACCATCCCTCATGCCATGCACAGGATCCCAAGAGGAGGAGGCGAATGGACTCCCTGTATTAGCACTGTCCGGCGTGCATGATCAGTACTGTGTCATGCCTCATCACCAAGTGTGCCCTAGACCCCCTTCTGGACAGCACAATGTATATGCATATACACATTATGACAGGGATAATGTGATTCCTGTGATGAAATTGCATCCAAGAATAATCATCTTTGACGAGCATCTGAGATTTTTCAGTGCCTGATTTGCCCCTTCGTTATAAAGTTACCCTAAATAACATTTTCAGGTGGTTTTCCTTCCAGGTAGCTAGAGAAAGAAGAAAGAGGCTCTCTTCCTGCCAGATGATAGTACAAAAAATAAACACCCATATATGTATAAGGCAAGGAATCTAGAGTAAAATCTCATAGTTCAGTACTTCTCCCTTGTTCACCCTGATGCATCAAGACAGTCCATGTGAAATATTGGGACCAGACCTGAGACTGGCCCTCATTCATAACTGAGGGAGGTAAAAAGTGCTGGGCTGGCATACTGAAATTTTACATCTCATCTTTCATGCCATTTCTAACTAATGCATTTGGTTTCCTTCTTTTCAAATACGATTATTTTAAAGAGTAGTTTATGGTATAAAAAGAAGATAAATACTTCATTTTTCCCCTAAATGATTTTAATGATGAATTACATGGCTCCAGAAAGCAGTTTGAAAGGCATTGTGGGCTCCTTTGAAGAAAAGCGTCATCTTGATATAAATCAGGAATATTATTTTATAAATATTTGAATAGCTGTAAACTACCAGTATTGAGTAAAATGTGATCACTATCTGGAGATTCCGTTTAAGTTTCTATCAACTTCAATATATTTTACTAGGAAATCTACAGAAACAAATTAATCTTAAAAATTATACTAATTTAGGGGAACATGCCACCTTCAAACATTGATAGCTCCAACATACAGTTGCAAGTTAGCTACTTCAGCCTTTTCCAAATCAAACAAAAAACAGCCTTGAAACTAAGAACACCATTTTACTTACACTAAGTTTTACTGTTTTATTGGGGATTTTCCCCATTTGGTTGTATATTAGTTTAATTATTGTAACTTTGGAGGAAAAACAACTAAAAACCAAAATGTGACTGTAAGTTAATGAAAATTAGCCATTAGATAGTAGTAGCATTGCTGCTATCATCTTTAATTGATTTCTTCCTGGCCAATTTAATCGATTAAAAAAATGCATAAAATAATGTATAGTCTCTTCATAAAATATGTTAGCACTTAAGGTAAAAATCAGCCCTTCTCTAGTAAGCCGTGAGTGTTAAAGAGAGTTGAGAAGGGCTATTAGCAGCTTACCTGAGTCCATCTGTGGCAGTCTTATGAAGAAAAGCAAAATACTTCAAATGAAGTTCACATGTCTCTAGAAATGGGTTTGTAAGAGGGGAAGCGTCAAGGGAGATGTTGACAGATATTTAATTATAATGGCAGTAGTGGCTGTTGCTGTGTTAATAGCATCTGGCAGCAGAGTCACCGCCATCTGTTAATGCCCTGAAATTCTGATACGGTGCATCCTTTATGGAGGAATTAACAATAATTAACAAATCTATCAAATGAAATCACCTTGATTGGATGACAGCTTTACCTTGATAATGATTAATTGCAAAATAATGGGGAGTAAAATGTCCACTATTCGCCTTTTTACTATAGGCCAGCTAATGCCACTATCCGAGTACAGCATCCTGGAGGGTTTACTTTTAAGCTTGTGGTGTGAGACATCATTTAGTGCATCTCCTTTAAATAATCCTTATAAGCAGAGCTAGATTAAAAACAAACTTTTGCGTCTTAATTTCTATTTGCAACAGATTAGGACTCTAAAATGAGTTGCCGTTCTGCTGATGCACGGTAACTTATTTGATGTTAAATAAGGGAGAAAATGAGGTTAGACTGACAGAAATGTCCCTTCAACCAAAGTCAAGTCTGCCCGGAAGAGCAATCTGAGTATGTTAAAGCATTTTGGCTTTCTTTGTAATCTTGATATTAAAATCCAAACTATTAATTTCTGATGAATCAGTTTGTCCTCAAAGTGATGGGAAAAAATATTCTATTTGTTTGTATTTGGAAGAATTTTTTTTTAATATCTGTTTCTATCAAAGCCAATATTTTGGTCAGTGTAATGAAATATCAGGGCCGTAAACAATAGCTATAAACAAAGCAACGAGTCAATTCGAGGCTTGGTGGTTTATTTTTCTCTTATCCTGCTGAGGAACAGATGGAAAGGTGGCATACTCTGATTAAATAGAAGAATTGTAAGTAATAGGTAATTGAGGTGTGTTAATTATCAGACGCAACAGGAGGCAAAGAGTAAATATTGGGATCTTGAATTCAGGTACACTGGAATTTTATTTCCATCTTCCTATGTGAGTCACTTAATATGCTGAATATTGCTCTGGGACCCACAAAGAGAAGGCAACATATATTTTCCTTGTGTCTTTCTATTTGTTCGTAAGTGACAGAATTTTCTTTAGGCTGGGATTTGTGCTGATTCCAGTTACTGATAGAGCTGCACTGGCGCCAAACCACAAGCAGAGGAGTGGAAAGCTGGGTTTGCACCACCATGATTTATCACAGGTCCCGAAGCAGGAGCTATAAATCAGAGCAGCAGATTTTTGGTGGGGAAAGGCCTGTGCCTCCAGGGTGACGATATGCAGAGACAGAAGATAGCCCAAAATTCACCTTATGTTGCAGTAGGTGGGCAGGAGGTGTTAGGACTGCAGAACATGCCTACTGCTGGACCATCCAGATGTGCCATTCCAGATGTGCAGTGTGGACCATTCCTGGTTTCTGCCTCTGCATTGTGGCAAATGAACTGGTGGAGCAGATTTGAGGGTAAAGGCTCACCTTGTGCATGAGTTTGGCATTTAGCTGATTTCTGGTTTTGGTGTCTTCTCCGTGAGACCTATGTGTCTCTATTTTGCTTGGCAGTTTTATGAGTTTGCTTGACAGTTGTATGAGTTGTACATCAGCTCATATGAGTTGTATGACTATGTACATGCATGTTCACCACACACAACATGCTTGTACATAGTCATCCCAAGTTAACACTGTTAAAATTAGAAGATGCTTTGAAAGCAAATGGTTTCGTCTTCTGCTACTTTGACTTGACATCATGGGATCATGGGCAGGCAGTGGCTGGCGGGATGTAACAAACACAGAGATGTTTGTTAAGGCTTGGAAGAAAGGCTTGTTTCTCTCTCACTGTTATTTTCATGCAAGACACCATTTTCTGTTTAGGAGGATTAGAAGATATGCATTAAACAGTGTTAAATATGCTGAGGCAGTTGATGTTTACAACCCTTGTAGAATTATTCATTAAAATATTAACTGCTAGACAGCCTCTTTTTTTTTTTTTTTTAAATTCAGTGATTTAGTAGTAGCCCTCTTAAAAATCATGTTGTGTGATTCAGACATTCAAAGACTAAATAAGACAAAACAAAACCACCAAAATTACCCACAAAAGCACTAATTCTTGGGTTTACATTTCTTAAATTGTCATGGACATGATGTGCCTGAGAAATTCAGATGGATTTGTGGAGCGGGTGAGCTGTAAGATTTGACTCAGCTCTCTCCCATCTGCACCAGCAGCTTTCCCTAACACACAGTGCTGGGAAGATCTGGAAGGGGCTGTATCCTTCTCCAGATTTTTGCAGACAATAGATACGTGTGTGCACTAAGCTTTGGTTTACAGAAGCTTTTGGCATGAGGACAAGATGTTACCTTGAAGTGCTGGCTCTCAGCTAAACTCTTTTCCCTCCCCATGCCTTTTTCAAGATGTTTTTAATGGCTCTAGTCCTCTGCGGAGGACATGGTTGTGTTCTTGTCTATAAACATATTCTGGTTGCTTCCTTGGGCCCCTTGTGTCCAGTTTTCAGGCTGGGCAGGTCAAGTCTGCCATTGCTGCTCTTCTCACTGGCACGTTTAATGTATGGTTTCTCCCACATATGTTTTTCCACGTGATGCTAATGTTTCTCACCTCTGTTCTGAGCAAACCTACAGGTCTGGGGTGACTCTGGGGCTCTGCCTTTTCAGTGCTTTGCCTTGCTCCGTTAAAGGTGCCACTTGCTGTTATTATCAATACAACTCTATGAGGAGCCAAGCTGCAGCTGCACACCTTGTTTTCCATGGACCGCTGGAGAGTTATTAGCCAGCGTGGTGTTTGATCCTACACGTCACGGATGGATTTTGCCCAGTGGCCCAGAGACAATCCCCCAGGCCACCGAGCCTGTGATATTTAAAAATTACCCTCTTGGGGTCATTGCATCAGTTGTGTTGCCTTTAATTGCCTTTTTGATGAGCTTTTCTCATTCTGTTGTACAGGTAGAAGAGCCTGAACCCAGCACAGTGTGACACTGTGATGACAAATGCCTGTCGCTCTTTGTGTGCTTGATAGATACTGATGGTATCTCTGTTGTGTGTTTTTTGTGTGTTTCAGGAAAAAAGTGCCAGTTCAAATGCAAGACTTAAATCTAATAAAGAGATCCCAGGATTAGGACATCAACCCAGAGCAAAGTAAGTTAATTTTTTTTTAATTGTAATACAAATAAACACAGGATTAAGCAGTATCTGTGAGATCCCCAATTATTGCCTAGCGAAAACCAGTTGGTGGTTCCAGCAGCCATGCTCAATTTAAATAAAATAGGTAAGGTCACCTGTGTCCCAATACCAATGACACAGCCAGGCAGCACTTGTGCTGGCATCCCTGCAGCATCCTCTCCTTTGCATGGCTAAGATGGAGGACTTAAAAATGTGTGAGATGCATCTTGCTGTGCCTTATAGGAGTACCATACTGTGTTATTTCTCAGCTTTCCGTACAACTTACACATAAACAAACTTATATATGCCCTAGTGTTCCTAAATATTATTGGTTATGTTCCCAGGGAAGTATTTGCTAGCTCTTGGCTTAGATTAGCAGCTATATTGCCTGGGATTAGGAATGGTAAACTTCTTCCATTTAAAACGGTAAAGTTCTTTCTTAAACTGAGGGTTGTTTTGTAGCTGAGAGTTTCTTCACCCTTCACTTGCAGTTCTGTGCTGTACCCTGGCTGAGATCAGTCAGCATTACGTATACCATGAAATATTTAACTCCTGTGACAGAGCTGGTTATTGATATTAGTGACTCGTTTCTTATCTAAATCACTGTTACATTTTAATCACTAATTGGATTGAAAATAACAGATTACATGGAGCCGTATATCAGGTTCGTAATGAAGAAGTGATAAAGCTTCTGTTGGATTTTGAACAATAGCGGAAATGCTGTTCTTTATGCCGTGCCTTCGGGGCACTTATTAACTTAAACTTGCTGCATACCAAGTGCGTTGTACACGGTTTCAAGTCGGGAAACTTCAGTAATTTCCTAATCAACTGACAGTATAATTCGTCCTCCTTTCAAAAGGAAAAATCAAGTGCTTGAGATGTAATTGCAAAAAAGTTCACGGTAGGGAGGTAGAGGTAAAATCATCCTTCAGCAAAGCTGTACTTCATTGTTGTGGCTTGGTCCTTCCAAGCGAGGTCAGAGGTGTATTTAAGATGCTCTAACAGGAGGCTAATCAGCGTGGGCTAAAAAAGAGATGTGTCTTTTGATGGATCATCTCTTCCGGTGCGTCCAAGGCAGAGGGACTGCGTGGGGTCGGGGGTCCATTCTTTCATCAAACTCTGATTTTAGAAGTCCCTGTAGAAATCTGACCTTTATTCACCAAAAAAGCCTAAAGATGGTGTGTTGGTGGAGATGAATGTTTCTATCGCAGTCCTGCAAAAATAAGGAAACGTCTCGGAGAGTTATGGAATGTAACAGTAGGTTGTTGGGTAAAACCTCCACTGTTTGCCCTAGCCTCTGCTGTTTACCCAACGTACCATTGGATTGCTGTTTATAAAGTGGCTACATGTGTTTGAGTTGCTAATCACCAAGTCAGCAAATATCTCTTATCATGTGCAGTTTTTTTTAAGGTTTATCATCTGAAAACCATGACAATTCTGACTGCAGTGGGGGGTGGCAGGGGGTGAAAAGGTGTTACTTAGCTAAAAGAGCAGAAATGAATAGATAAATCATTAGATACACCGTTCTTGTAGAACAGGTGTCATTACAAAACAAAACATGGACTATGTACCAAATTACGATTTTATGTACAATGGAGGGAGTTTTAAAATGTCAGCTGTAAAAGTAAGGTTGTGAGGGCTCTTCCCATTTGTAGGAGGATTTAGATTTTACATCTAGAGCCCTGGACTCTAGAACCAGCGTACACAGGGAGCCGGCAGTAGATTTATGGGGGTCTTTGACAGAGGTCGAGGGGTTGGTCCTTCCTCTTCACACTGAGTGCTGGTACCTTCCATGCCTTCATGGGGCTTCATCCCCACACCCTGCCCCGAGCTCTTGGGTGCTTCCTCTGTTTGTTCATCCTCAAAACTGACTCTGCTGACATCTTTAACCAGAAAAGTGATCACGTATGCCCCATTAAGTACGTTGACACATGGTCATAACTCATGGAGTAACACAGCCTGAAGCATAAAATGAAAGTAGTAGTATTTCATACCATTTTTACCTTGCTAGATCATGGAATGAGAATGGTTTGGGTTGGAAGGGACCTTTAAAGATCATCTAGTTCCACCCTTCCTGCTGTGGGCAGGAACATCTTCCACTAGATCAAGTTTCTCAAAGCCCCGTCCATCCTGAGCTTGAACACTTCCAGGGATGGGCATCCACAACTTCTCTGGGCAACCTATTCCAGTGTTTCACCACCCTCATCATAAAGAATTTCTTCCTTATGTCCAATGTAAATCTACCTTCTTAGTTTGAAATTGTTGCTCCTTGTCCTGTCACTACAGGCCTTGGTAAAAAGTCTGTCCCCATCTTTCTTAGAAGCCCACTTTATATACTGAAAGGCCGCAATAAGGTCTCCCTGGAGCCTTCTCTTCTCCAGGCTGAACAACCCCAACTCTCTCAGCCTTTATTCATAGCAGAGGTATTCCAGCCCTTGGATCATTTTTGTGGCCCTCCTCTGGACCCGCTCCAGCAGGTCCATGTCTTTCTTTTACTGGGGGCCCCAGAGCTGGATGCAGTGTTCCAGGGAGGGTCTCAAAAGAGCAGAGTAGAGGGGGAGCATCATCTCTCTCAACCTGCTGGCCATGCTGCTGGCGATACATCCAGGACACGATTGGCTTTCTGGGCTGCAAGCGCATGTCACCAGCTCATGTGCAATTCTTCATCCACCAGTATCCCCAAGTCCTTCTACTCAGGGCTGTTCTTAATCCATTCATCACCCAGTCTGTACTGGTACTGGGGATAAAGATACCATCTTTTGGCAAAATGTGTTTCATTGGCCTGCCATCAAACATCTAAAAATGCATTCTCATGCCTTCTGATGCACTTCTTACAAGGAAAATTAAATCCACGTTCCTGTTTGGGGAGAGCTTTTACTTCTGGAGGGATACCCAAGAACTCTGCTTAGATTCGGTGGTTTTCTGACTCTTCCAGTTGTTCATTAACTCTGTCAGTTCCCTGCCCTGCCAAGGATTTTATAATTTTACACAGCTCCTCAAAATTCACTGTATGTCAGACGGCATTTGTGTATGTGTATGTGTGTTGCATCTCTAAATTGTGCGGCAGTTTTACTGTCCAGCCAAACTTTTCTGAAGATCATGGTCTGCAAGGGCTTTAGGACCTCCTGTGGGACTTTTCATGTATATAGCAACTCAATACTCCTTTCCCCCCCCCCCCCCCCCCCCCCTCCTCTCTCACTA